GCCCCCCCCCCCCGCGAGATTACAGGTGGCGGGGGTGTCGGCCTGCAAGGGGACCCCGCCGAGCTTCTGAGCGAGGCCATTTTTCCCCAGCGCGCTCGCGCTCATGCTCCAGTCACCCACAACCGTCCACGGAAGTTGTGAAGCGGACGAGAATCCAGCCAGCCGTCGGAAGCGCCCAAGATTGGCGCCTCGCATACCCAGACACGAGTGAAAACAGACTGTGACCACCGCCATCGAGATACCACGGCAGTGCGCGACCTGAGCAGCGAACCCATCGGCACTCGAATAGCCTGGCGCCTGTAGTCGACTTCCTGCTGCGCGAATAGCGGCCACCCTGTGACCCTGCACATGCGACCTGGACAGAAGCAGTTCACCACCTTCGTTAGAATGCGCAGCCTGACGACCGAGCTCATGGGTAGTGGTGGTGCCTCCCTTCGGTCTCGCAGCATTGAGACTTGAACGATGCTCCAATTCGCGAGCCTTCGTCTCCCATTTGCGAACGCCAGCGACTGAGTGAACATGTGCTTCGACTAAGGCCACCATATCGCACGCAGAACTGTTCTGTTCGGCGAAACCCCAGGCCTTGCCCCCTAGGCAATAGATGCTGGCATAGAACATCTGCAGACTATGCAACTCCCCGTCCTCGGCTGCCTGCCGAGGTGATTCTCAAGCATGCACAGCTAGTCACTCAGAGCCCTCGCCCTTGCCTGACTTGCCCTTCTGAACCTTGACCTCGGCAGCGAGCTTGGCTGCTGAAAGCCTCGCCGCCTCTGCGGCGACCGCCTCCGCTTCCGTCGCCGCCGTCTGAGCTGCCCCATCCAAGGCGCCTGGCGGGGTCCGCTGGGGCCGCGCCCGCAACGGTGTGCTCAGCGGGCGCGCCGCCCACGCCAGGGGAGGGCGCTGCGGCGGTCGCTGAGGCTGCCGAGCCTCTTGCAGCGGGCTCTGGCGCTTCCTATGTTCGACGTTTCTTGCTCATCCTCTTGGCGATCTCGGCCTTGAAGATCTCCATCTGCTTCAGCCATGTCCGCACTTCGGAGTCCTCGGCGCGCATCTCGGCTTCCGTGGCAAGGAGACCTCTTCACACCCTTTACGTTCATGATCGTCACCTTCGAGCACATTCAGAATATCGAGAAATTCACGATCCCACGCAATCCTGAAAAGTTCCGTCTCTTCGCCGCCCTGCCCCGACGGCGCGGGCCGAGGCTGGCCCCCCCCACACCGTCGGCGCGCGCCCGAGCCTGAGCGGCGGCCTTGCGCGCCCGAGACGCCTCGGCCAGGACCTCGGCTGTCTCCTGCTCCTTCGCGGTGGCGAGCTCGACGGCCTTCTGGCTGCGAACGAGATTGGCAACTGCTTGGTTGTGTTTATGGTCTGCGTCACGAAAGACTCCATCCGCCCGACGGAGAAGCTCGACCTCGGAGACGTCGCCATTGCCCTTGGCTTCGGCCTCCGTCTCCGAACGCTGCGCCTGGGCCGCGAGGTTCGCGCGTAGCTCGGCGTCCTCCACCCCGTTACGAAAGTTAATTATCTTGGCTGAACTTGACATGTGCGGGCGCTGTGGTGAGAAGTGGTATGGGAGTGATTCTTCCTTGTGGTTTCATGCGGGGAGAGATTCAGAGTTGCCTGGAAGTGACCGGGAGTGATTTCTCCCTTGTGAATTTACGGGGGAGAGACTTTATCCTGAATTGGTTATACACGATTAATGTTACCAAGGAGAACCCAATCTCTCCCGCCAAGCCAGGCCGAAGACGGCCGTGCTAGGAGTCTACGGGGGGAAGGGGGGCCACTCGGAGATGCCCGAGTCGTCAGTGCTCAAGATGAATAGCTTTCGTAACGGGTAAGTCGGTAGCCTCCGCCGCCCGCTGCAACAGCGAGCTGACATGCTCCATGGGTTTCTTCAGAGGTGCTGTCTGCCTGCGACTCCCGCGCTTGCCTCTGCCTGCTCCACTGGCGGGCGACTGACTGCGCGAGCGGAGGGTCCCCTTCGGGCGCGCGAGGGAGGCCTCCTCCTCCTCCTCCTCGTCCTCCTCCGCATGATCATCATCATCAAAGCGAACTGCTCGACTACCACGAGGGCGAAACGAAGTAACTGGGGCCTCGCAGCTAGTGCAGATGCATGAACGAAATGGCATAATGTTATTGCACCCACACTGCCCGCAGCCTTTTCAGCGAGTCCACACGCGCGCGAAAGAAGACATTCAGGAATGACTGACTGGTTTACTCCTGCACTGGTCGGTGCCGCGCCGTTCCTCGGCGGGGGGGGGCGGGCAATGTCTCTCAAGCGCTTCGGGAAATCTCAGGAGATGGACCCCCCGCCAAAATGGTTCGGGCCCCGATGGCTTGAGGGAGGAGGAGGAGGAGGATGGAGGAGGAGGAGCTCGAGGAGTCCGGCGCCCAAGGTCGGTCTCCCGAAGGCCGCCCGTGCATTGCGCGCGCCCAACCAACGAACTACCGCCCGGAGAGCAGCAACAGCTGCGCAGGAAAGGCACAAGGGGTGACCACGTCGCCTGTGAAAGCTCGCGGCCCAACTGTTCCGACATGGTGCGTTGGGAGCCAAAGGCATCCCAGTCGGAACAGCTGGCACGGCATACCGAGGAGCACGAGCTCCCCAGCCTCGGGTGGGCACAAGGCCCCTTGGGACTTACGTGGCACAAGCCGCCGCCTCCCGAGGAAATGCCGATCCCTGAAGGTCAGATCACAATGACATGACCGCACAGGCGCCGCCACCCGCCTTCACCCGCAGGGCCAGGCTGAGACTGGGGCCGTGCTACACCCAACGACGGGAAACCCGTCGCAACGTCCACCCCGAGCCCCAGAGCCCGCAGTTCCAGAAAAAAACGCCGGTTGCACCCCGCCCAACCTGCAAATTAAGTGCCGTGTACAGTGTGCCCCGAGGGCTCTCGGCACTGACACCATGAAAACAAGTGCCAGGCCCCACCCTGGGGGGGGAGGAGCTTGGGGAGGAGGAGGAGGAGGAGGAGGAGGAGGAGGAGGAAGAGGAGGAGGAGGAGGGGGGGCGGAGGAGGAGGAGAGGAGGAGGAGGAGGGAGCAGGAGGTGAGGAGCAGGAGGAGGAGCAGGAGGGGAGGAGGAGGAGGAGCAGGAGGAGTTGGGGAGGGGGAGGGAGGAGGAGGAGGAGGAGGAGGAGGAGGAGGAGGAGGAGGAGGAGGAGGAGGAGGAGGAAAAAGCTCTGGAGACTCTGGCGAACTTTTACGTCGCAGTGCGGCGGAAACGATCTGCATGCGCGTCGGGGCGAGACTGGGACACGGCGTCGCGCAATAACCCGCACGCAAAAGGGGAGGGAGGCGAGAGAGTGGCCGCGGAGGGAAGGAAACCGGGCTCGACGGCACTCTCACGCAGCGGTACTGCGGCGAGCGCGCAGGGGGCGGCGGGGCTGAAGGGCAGCCCCGGGCAGCTGCCGCGGCGCAGCGTCGCAGAGCATCCAGGGGGGGAGCCAGCAGCCTCAGTGCGGGCAGGACCCGGCAAGTGGAGGAGCGGGTGCAGCGGGCGGCCGTGGAACCGGGGTGCCAGCGGGGGGGGGAGGCAGCGGCGAGGGAGCCGGCGGCGGCCAGGGGCAAAGTGTGCCGGCGCTGCAGCAGCTGCGAGGGGCCCAAGGGCGGCGGGCGGGCTGGCGGGCAAGCGGCGGAACCGCCGTGTGGCCAGTCAACCTGCCACGGGGCACGGTGAGGGGGCAGAGGCAACCTGAGAAGAACAGAAGGCCATCCCGAAGCCGGCGCGCGGCTTCACATCTGGGAGTCGGCGGCACCCAGTGCAAATGGCGCACGGGTAGGGCCTCCGCGAGGGGAAAACGGGGGGCGGGCCCATCAGGGGCCGCCCGAGGGAAGCCGGAAGGCAGAAGCGGGAGGCGAGCCGCCACGGCGGTGGCCCCAGAGGCTCTGGCGAACGCGGAGCGGCTCCGGCGCCCGCCCATCGGGGGGGGGCCCGCGCTGAGCACCACCTAGGATCGAGGATCTGAGCCATTCCCAGGCCCCCAGATGACGAGGCACCCCGAGGGGGCAGAACCAAAGCCCCACGAAGAGAAGGCGGGCGAGCAGGACTGAGTTGCTGCTGCTGCAGCTGAAGCTGCTGCTGTCGATGATGGTAATGGTGATGGTAGTGATGGTAGTGATGGTGATGGTGATGGTGATGGTGATGGTGATGGTGATGGTGATGGTGATGGTGATGGTGATGTTGATGGTGATGGTGGTGGTGATGATGATGATGATGATGATGATGATGATGATGATGATGATGATGACGATGGGGATGGGGATGGGGATGAGGATGAGAATGGTGATGATGGTGATGATGGTGATGATGGTGATGTTGATGAGCATGAGGATGAGGATGAGGATAATGATACTGAGGATGAGGATGATGATGATGCTGATGATGATGATGATGATGATACTGATGATGATGCTGATGATGATGGTGGTGATGATGATGGTGATGGTGGTGGTGGTCATGATGATAATGATGCTGATGGTGATGATGGTGATGATGTTGGTGGTGATGATGATGCTGATGGTGATGATGATGAGGATGAGGTTGATGATGATGATGATGATGATGATGCTGATGCTGATGCTGATGCTGATGCTGATGCTGATGATGATGATGATGATGATGATGATGATGATGATGATGATGATGATGATGATGATGGTGGTGATGGGGGTGAGGAGGACAGAAGAGGTAAAGGGGGCACCCAAGCGATCCCCACTGCAGAGGGAAGCCCGATGCCCGCGGTTGGTCGGGCTGTGCCCCAGGTCTCCCACGTCTCTCGCCACATCTGCTGACGACAGGGGGCGGGTGTCTGGCGGTGGCTGGCCAGAATCCTGGAGTACCCTCCTCCTTATCCTGATCGGGAGGTCCCCGCCTCGTCCTCCTCCTCCTCCTCCTGTTCCTCCTCCGCCTGCCTTGTTTCCCCCTTCTCCCTTGTATGATCTTGTATGCACGCGCGCTGGAACCACTCGCGTGATTCTTTCTGTTCTGACGCGATCACGCCTCCACACCATCAAGATCTGAGCTGGTTTCGGAAATTGAGCTGACGACGAGCGCGGGCCCAAGCGCAGCCTGCAACCTCCCTTGCCTTAGGTTGGAGCCAGGCCTGCAAACGGGTTCAGCACCCCCATCCCGCCACCGCTCTACTCGGCTGATGAGGCTGCAAAGAGTGTCAGCTGAGCATGTCGAGAGATGAGCAAACTGGCTCTCCTGCTCCATCCCTGCGAAGGCACGCCAAGCGGAACACTCCTGTTTCGCGCTCTTCAGCAGCGCCTCTGCCACCAGCAAGTCTACTGTGCGCGAACAGTGGGCTCCATTCGAACACGCGCTTTGGAAGGCCGTGAACAGTGGCCCCAAAGCCGCTCGTCGGGCCACTGAGCCATCAGGTTGCACTCGGATCTCTACTTCCACACCGGAGGCAGGGACCTTGAGATCAACAGAGTGGTGCAGGCCAGGCCCGCATAGCATGAAGCCGTACGTGACGAGCAGCGATGCGTTGTTGTACTGGCCGTATCTGATGGTCACCTCCTCACCAGCTGTGATGTGCCGGGTCGCTTCGACCACGAGGCCACCAGACGAGTCCATGTGCCAGATGGCGTTTGGCGAGGCCTCGTGGTTCATCATCTGGAAGAGCGGCACCAGCGCCCGGACTGGCCTGCCGACGTGGCCTATCGAGTGCGAGTCGGCCGTGTGCACGGCCTTCTGAATCCGCCCCCCCGCATGCCCAGACGCCCGGCCGCTCCGGTGCTTCGGGAGCGTGGGCCCCTGAGCTCTGGACCACTGCCCTCCAGGGCCGGGGGTTTTCTGTCCTGTGGGTCGCTCCCCGACGGCCCCGGAGGCCCGGCGAGGGCCCCGAAGAGGCCGAGCGAGCGGCCAGAAGCCCGCCGCCTCCCTCGCTCCCTCGGAGCCTCGGGCCTCGGGGGGGCCCCTCGGCACGCCGAGGGGGGCGCGTGGGGAGGACTGCGGCCAGAAGCCCGCCGCCTCCCTCGCTCCCTCCGAGCCTCGGGCCTCGCGGGGGGGCCCCTCGGCACGCCGACGGGGGGCGCGTGGGGGGAGGACTGCCGCCCTGTCTGGCAGGGTGGCGAGAGCCGGCTCCCGCCGCCCGCGGCCTCCTCCGCTCGGACCTCGGGCGAAAGGGGGGGGGGATGCCAAAGAAGGGGGGGGGTCTGGCCATCGCTCGGACGTCCATTCCCTGCGTTTTTGTTCGGCTTCGCGCGTGGTTTTTTCACCAAATGGTCGAGGATGCTCCTCGATGGTCCTCGCCGAAAGAAAAATGCACACGTCCGAACGATGCCAGGGGGTTGGAGCAGCAACTCGCGCAGCTGACTTTCCCGGCGCCTCCCGGCGCCGGAGGCGGCCATGCATCGAGGAACGGGCCCGGCGGCGGGGCCGAAGCCAGCTGCATGCGGCAGATTTCGTACCCCCCCTTTCCCAGTGCCCCTCTTTCGTCCGGCCCGATCCTCCCCTCTCGGCTCGCCTCGAGCGCCGCGGGTTGCCTCCGACGTCGCCGACTGTGCGTGTCTGGGGCAGGGCACGACGCGTGCCGCCCTCGGGGGGCGATGCCCTGTCGGGGGGCGGCCAAGGCGGAGGCGTCCGAGAGGGGGGGGGGAAGGGGGGCTTCGCAGGTCATGGCCCGAGGCGTGCGTGCAGGGAGGCGACGGCGCACTGAGCCCAGCGTTCTCTCCGAGCTTCCCCACCCCTGGCCGTGGGGTCCGAGGCGCACCCTTGGGGGCTGGGGAGGTGGCGGAGGTGGCGGAAGGAGGAGGAGGAGGAGGAGGAGGGAGGAGGAGGAGGAGGAAGGAGGAGGAGGAGGAGGAGGAGGAGGAGGAGGAGAAGGAGGGGGAGGAGGGAGGATGACAACGAAGAGGAGGAAGCGGAGGAGGAGGAGGAGGAGGAGGACGAAGAGGAGGAGGAGGAGGAGGAAGAGGAGGAGCAGGAGGAGCAGGAGCAGGAGGAGGAAGCGGAGGAGGAGGAGGAGGAGGAGGAAGAGGAGGAGCAGGAGGAGCAGGAGCAGGAGGAGGAAGCGGAGGAGGAGGAGGAAGAGGAGGAGGAGGAGGAGCAGGAGGAGCAGGAGGAGCAAGAGCAGGAGGAGGAGGAGGAGGAGCGGGCCGTGAGATCCGGCGAAGTGGCAGAACTCCAGCAATCCGCTTCGGAAGAAGCACGGCAGAACCGTTGCTCCTCCAAGACGGCCCCAAAGAAGGCGCCACGAGGGGCCCCAAAGAAGCCCCCGACAGGCCTTCAGGACGCTCCCGAGGAGCATCCAAAAGCCAACTCGACGACCATCCAATGTGACCTCCACTCCACTTCCCCCCCCATCCCTCCTTCCCTTCAGTCCTCCCAGCTCCCTGTCAGAATTTGCGCGGGTCGTCACTCTCCTCGTCTAAGACCCCATATACACCTGATCATTCCTTCTCCTCCTCCTCATCATCATCCTCGTCATCCTCGTCATCCTCGTCACCATCACCATCACCATCACCATCACCATTACGATCATCATCACCATGTTCATCACATTGATCATCACTATCAGCATCATCATCACCATCATCACCGCAACCACCACCACCATCATCATCCTTATCATCATCCTCTTCCTCATCCTCATCATCATCAGCATCCTCCTCATCATCATCAGCATCCTCATCAGCATACAGTCGGGGTGTTGAGATAAGGAACCCTAAATAAGGAACGGGGCCCCTTTCTCCCATAAGTTGAACTTCGATGTCCCACGGAAAACCTCAGGAAAACAGAAGGCAAACTGTAGAACCATCAAGGAACACCGAGCCCCTCCCCAACGAAAAGGGTTCCTTCTTCAGGGCCCCAGCTGTAATCATCATAAGCATCGTCATCATCATCAGCACCATCGTCGTCATCAGCATCAGCATCGGCATCATAATCATCATCATCATCATCATCATCATCATCATCATCATCATCATCATCATCATCATCATCATCATCATCAGCAGCAGCAGCAGCAGCAGCATCCTCATCCTCATCCTCATCCTCTTCCTCCTCAGCAACATCATCCTCATCACAACCATTCTCATCAAAGCTGTCTTCCTCATCATCCTAATCCTCCTCACCATCCTCATCATCATGATCATCGTCATCATCCTCATCGTCAGCACTATCATCATCACCATCACCATCATCATCATCATCATCATCATCATCATCCTCATCCTCATCCTCCTCATCATAACCATCAGCATCGTCGTCGTCGTCATCGTCATCATCAGCATCAGCATCATCACGACCACCACCATTCTTATCGCCATCATCAACAGCATCATCACTTTCTTCTTCTTCTTCATCATCATCGTCAGTATCGTCATCATCGTCGTCGTCATCATCACCCCCAATCATCATCAGTATCATCATCATCATCATCATCATCATCATCATCATCATCATCATCATCATCATCATCATCATCATCATCCTTATCCTTATCCTCATCCTCATCATCATCATCGTCATCATCCTCATTTTTTCCGCATCCTCATCCTCATCATCTTCATCCTCACCATTCTAATCCTCACCATCCTCATCGTCATCATCGTCTAACTTGTCCTCCTTGTCCTCCGTCATCCATACTAGACCTGTCTTCCTCCTCCTGCTTCTCCTCAACCCATCACCCCAACTGTCCCCCCCATACACCCCCCATACACACTCCTCATTCTTCTCCTCCTCCTCCTCCTCGCCATCTGTCCCATCCCTCCTCTCGTCCGTACTCCCGCCGGCTAGGCAAATCCATCCTCGTGCTTTCAAATGCCACGCTTTCACGGTGATCGGAGTTGCCGCAAAGATGAGGATATCTTCCGTGTCCACTCCTGGGAAATGCCCACGAAGTTCTTCAACCCAACGCCTCGAAAGGTCAACACGACCGCGCGCCATGCTTCCTAATTTACCCGGGAAGGAGAAGAAACGTTTGTAGTTGGGCAGTGTCGATGTGCAAATCAACATCTGCACGAAAGGAGCGAACCCCGAGTCGCTACCAAGCTCGTACTCCTCTATGAGTTTGTGAACGAGGCCCAACACGCCATGTGATAACTGATGATCCACACCGTTCTTCTCAACGAGAATGGCAGCATCCGGCACAAGCAAGAGACGATCGCCAACAACGCAATCGTGCTTCGCCACGAGGGAGCGACCACGACTGCTGGTGTCTTCTATCCTGACGGCATCATGCTCAATCCCACAGTCGTCACACCAAGCAAGGAAGCGCTCCCTACCCTTGAGCATCCATGCTTTACTCAAGAATTGCACGTTCTACGCAACACCACCACGGCGCACATGACATCAACAAGGCGTGGTCTCGAGCCGAAATGGCAACGGAGGCTCCCTGGCGGCGTCTCGGGGCGGACCCTTTTGGTGTCTCGGGGGCATCGTGGTGCCTCCTGGCGTCATCTTCCAGCGTCTCTTCTGCTTACAAGACACACCACACGCAGCATCGCATCAAGCAGTTGAGCATCCAACCCTCAACTGACAACTGCCTGGGCTCTTACTTAGACAAGCTGGATCTATGACAGGATCTCTCAGAGCAGATCTCTGACAGGATCGCCTTTCCCTATTTCTACTGCAGATTGCGATTGGCTTTGCAGAAACTATTGGAGACTTCGCATGCTTCCTCTGCCGACGCACCACGACATCGCGTAAACCTCCCCAACACGTCTTGGAAGCTTCTTGTGCCGTCTTGGGCCCTCCCCTTGGAGTCTCGGGTGGTCTCGAATTTCCTGTAGCCTGAACGGGCGAGTAGACTCAACTCCATGAACGACCAAAACAGCTGTCAAGTGCTTTCGACTTCAAGATGCCCCTGTTGAGGTCCTCTCGAGGCCCTCTTCGGGCGGCTTGGGGGTCTGTTGGGCCTCCACGCGGGCCACTTTGAGCCGTCATGGAGCACGCTGGGGCTATCTTGGACCCTCTTGGAACCCTCCTGCGCCACCTTGGGGATCTTCGGCCCCTGGGAAAGCGACGCGGGAAGCCCCAGGAACGCCCAGAAACACTCAGGAACCGAGGGGGGAGGGGAGGAGGAGGAGGAGGAGGAGGAGGAGGAGGAGGAGGAGGAGGAGGAGGAGGAGGAGGGGAGGGGAGGAGAAGGGAGGAGCAGGAGGAGGAGGAGGAGGAGGAGGAGGAGGAGGAGGGAGGAGGAGGAGGAGGAGGAGGAGGAGGAGGAGGAGGAGGAGGAGGAGGAGGAGGAGGAGGAGGAGGAGAAGGGGGGGGGGGAGGAGGAGGAGGAGGAGAGAGGGGAGGAGAAGGAGGAGGAGGAGGAGGAGGAGGAGGAGGAGGAGGAGGAGGAGGAGGAGGGGGGGGGGGGGCACACCACGGGGCAACAAAGGTCTGGCCGCCCGTGCGGGCCAGAACGGCCACTCAGAAGGCCCAGTCGATCGGCCCACAGCATGTGGTGGGGGGGGGGGCAAACCACAGCGGAACGAAGGCCGCGCCCCCTCCCGGCCAAACATGTATGGGCGAAACGCGGTGCAGCGAAGATTGCCCCCCCGCCCCGCCAGGTCTTTCATCAAGGCGCAAACGATCGTGCAACGAAGGGGGGAGCCCCTTCGGGTCGCTTGTGCAGATGTGCATATATCTATGCACACACATATATATATATATATATATATATATATATATGTATATATGTATCCGTATCTGTATATATATGTATGTATGTGTGTATGTTCATATAACTGTGTATATGCACGTATACGTATATGCACGTATATATGTATATGTAAATGTATATATACATATAGGCACATGTATGTGCATGTGTATATTTACATGCATCTGTAGATGCATCTGTAACTGCAACTGTATGCGTTTACGCATATGTGTATGACAATGTATGTGTATATGTATATGTGTTTGTATGTGTATATGTATGTGTATATGTATATGTAGATGAATTTGTATATGTGCGTGTATATGTGTATGTATATGTGTTCGTATACGTATATCTATAGTCTATGCATGCATATGTATACATGCCAACATACATCTATATATACATATAACTTGATATATACAGAAATCAGAATGAGGGGGCTGAGCCAAACGGTCATTCACTGTCCTTGGGTGCGCTGCTGAAGTGGAATTCCGCGATGCGGATTACTGCTGTTGTTTGTTGTTTGTCACTTATTGTTTGTTGTTGTCGTCGTCCCACCCGCGACCCGCCCCGCGACCCACCGCGACCCACCCCGCGACCCACCCGCGACCCACCCGCGACCCACCCCGCGACCACCCGAAACCCACCCCGCGACCCACCCGCGACCCACCCGCGACCCACCCCGCGACCCACCCGCGACCCAGCCCGCGACCCACCCGCGACCCACCCGCGACCCACCCGCGACCCGCCCCGCGACCAGCCCGCGACCCACCCCGAGACCCCCACGGCGACCCACCCGCCATCCACCGGCGATCCACCCGCGACCCACCCGCGACCCACCCCGCGACCCAGCCGCGACCCACCCGCGACCCACCCGCGACCCACCTTGCGACCCACCCGCGACCCACCCGCAACCCATCCCGCGACCCACCCAAAACTTTCGGCGCCTGCGGCGGGTTTCTTTTGAATTCGCTCCAGGTGGAGAACCTCCGACCCACTCGCGAACCAAACGGCGCCCGCGACCCACCCGCGACCCAGCGCGACCCACCCGGCGACCCACCCAAAATTTTCGACGCCTGCGGCAGGCTTCTTTTGCACTTGGAGAACCTGCGACCCACCCGCGACCCAAACCGCGTTTAGTGTACAAATCGAAATGTTCGGCGCCTGCGGCGGGCTGTTTTTGAATTCCTTCCGGGTGGAGGTGGAGAGCCCGCGACCCACCCGAGACCCAAACTACGTTCACTGAACAAGCAAAAACTTCGGCGCCTGCGGCGGGCTTCTTTTGCAGTCGTTCCAGGTGGAGAACCTGCGACCCAATCCGCGGTCGGTGTACAAATCAAAACTTTCGGCGCCTGCGGCGGGCTGTTTTTAATTCCTTCAGGTGGAGGTGGGGAGCCCGCGACCCACTCGCGATCAAAATTACGTTCACTGAACAAACCAAAAATTTGGCGCTTGCGGCGGGCTGTTTTTTGCATTCGTTCCGAGTGGCCCACCAGGGATCCTCCCCGCGCTGAACTTGTCAGAGCACGCAAATCGGCGCCTGCGGCGGGCTTGCTCGCATTGGTTTGGGAAAGCGCCCTCGTGCCATTCCCCCGATGCGGCCCACGCTGACTCTGCAACAGCACATCGGCGCCTGCGGCGGGGCTGGAGGAGGGGGAGGAGGAGAGAAAGGAGGGAGGGGGAGGGGGAGGAGGAGGAGGAGGACGACGACGACGACGGAAAGGAGGAGGGGGGAGGATCGGGATGGGGGAGGAAGAGGAGGAGGAGGAGGAGGAGGAGGAGGAGGAGGAGGAGGAGGAGGAAAAGGAGGAAGAGGAGAAGGAGGTGGAGGAGGAGGAGGAGGAGGCGGACGACGACGACGACGACGACGACGACGACGACGACGACGATGAGGACGAGGACGCGGACGAGGAGGAGGACGAGGAGGAGCAGGAGGAGGAGGAGGGCGCCATCGACAGGGAAGGTGAGGGCCGCGAGGTCCGCCGGCTCGACGCCCGCGTCGCCCGCGCCCGCCCCCTCACTCTTATCCGCAACTGCGGGATGCTATATACATACATACACGCCGCCGTGCCCCTGTGGCACGAGGTGGAGTGCTCTCCAGTCCCTGGCCGAGTCCCTGGAGCGTCAATTCTCAATCCTGGGGATCCCCGAATTCCCAAATCTTCTGGCTTGTCGAGAGGCCCCTCGGACTCCTCGCGGCTTCTCGCATGACTTCTTCGGCCCTAGCAAAGTTTCAAGATCTGCCAAGAGGTCCCCAAGAGGCTCCCAAGACGGTTCAAGAGACTCCGAAGCGCCGCAAAATCGGTCCAAGACGCCCAAGATGGGTTCAAGACGGCCCACGATGCCCCCAGTACGCCAAAAGAGGCCTCGAATAGGCCTCCCAAGAGGGCCCCACGAGGCAGACATCATTGATTTTCCGGCGGTGTTTGAAAGGTGTTGGCGTCATCGCCTTTCCGGCTTCACGATGCTCCAAGACAGCTTCGGAGGCCCCCAAGATCGCCTCAAGACGGCTCGAGAGGCCTTCAAGCGGACGCCAAGATCGCCCAAGAGGGCCCGAAGACGGCCCAAGAGGCCTCCGAGACGGCCTCAAGACGGCCAAGATGTCCCAAGAGAGCCCAAGATGGCCCCAAGGTGCACCCAAGACGGCCTGGGATGCACCCGAAACAGCCCAAGATGGTTTCAAGATGGCCCCAAACGGCCCAAGAGCCCCCCAAGAGGCCTACAAAATGGCCCGAGAGGCCTCCAAGAGTTGTTTCATGAAGGCTCGAACAATCCGAAGTCATTGACTGTCTTAAGTGCTTGGAGCATTTGGGCATTTACTTATGTTCGGCCTTCTGACGGCCCAAGAGGCCCCCCAAGATTGCCCCAAGAGCGCCCAAGAGACTTCCAAGATGGCCCCATGACGGTCCCAAAGGCCCCCAAGACGTCCCCCAAAGGGCCCCCAAACGGCCAAAGAGGCTTCCACGACGCCCAAGATGTCTTCCAAGACGGCTAAAATGGCCTAAAGAGTGCCCAAGATGGCCCAAGATGTCTCCAAAATGGCCCCAGATGCACACAAGACGGCCTACGATGGCCTTGAGATGGCCCCAAACAGCCCAAGAGGCCCTCAAGAGGCCTCCAAGACATTCCAAGACGGCCCACTAGGCCTTCAACAGGTCATACAGGAAGGCCCGAAGAGACCAAACTATTAATTGCCATTCAGTTGTTGGAGGAGTATGGTATTTGCTCCGTTTCGGCCGTCCCGACGGCCCAAGACGGCCCAAGAGGCCCCCAAGATCGCATCGATATCGCCCAATCAACTTTGGCCTCCCATGCAGGCCCACCCCCAAGACGGCCCCAAGAGGGCCCCAGGATGGCCCAAGAGGCCTCCAAGACGCCCAAGAGGCCTCCAATACGCCCAAAGTGGCCCAAGAGAGCCCAAGATGGCCCCATGATGTCTCCAAGACGGCCCAAGATGCACCCTACACGGCCTAAGATGGCCTCAAGATGGCCCAACACGGCCTCCAAGAGGCCTCAGAGACCACAAGAGAATCCAAGATATTTCCGAGATTGGCTGCATGACGGCCCACAGAAACCCCAAGATGGCCAGGTCAAGAGAGGGTCCCAAGAGGCTTCGCCCTCTGCCTCGTCCTCTTCCTCG